AGTCTACAACAAAAAAAAAAAAACAGTTGTACAGTGATATATGAGATTAAGTATTATGTACCCAACGTATGTGATTCAGCAATCCGTTAATAATAAAGTCCATTTCCAAATACTTCAGGCCCAAGCAACCCCTTGTCTGTGTAGTGTGTCAGATTTCTCTATTGACTTAAATATGATTTTTATTTTTTAGGCATGCTCTAGAAGGGCAGTCAGCCAAAACATGCATGATGTTTTTGTTTCCCTGTAAATCATTCCTCAGTGTGGTCTAAACAGATATAATGAAAAAGCCTACTAAAAGAATCCCTAGAAAATAAGTCCTCATTCTCCCATCCCTCTGCCAGCATAACTCCTCTCACACTTTGCGGTCGTTCAGCAGCATGCCGTTCATCTTCTCAATGGCTCTGTCTGCAGCGTCTTGTGTCTCAAAATGCACAAAAGCGTAACCCTTGGAGCCATTCTCATCACACACCACCTGTAGGAGAGTGGGTGTTAAATGAGTCCATGGTATCTCAAAAAAAGCATCCCAAATAATAGTAGGTAAACAAAAAGGTCGAGCAAAGAAACTAACCTTACATGAAAGAATGTTGCCAAATGCAGAAAAAGTGTCATAAAGTGCTTTGTTATCAATTGATTTGTCAAGGTTTTTTATGAAAACATTGCCCACACCAGATTTCCTAAGTGATGGATCCCGCTGTGACCACATAATCCGGATGGGCTTCCCTTTGATCACATCAAAGTTCATAGTGTCCAGAGCCCGTTCAGCTGCAAACAAAAAGACATTGTTTTTAGAACGCAAGCACATATAATATGGTTTATTGTGCTGCATGAGAGCTATGACATATCGTGGTAAATTTTGCTTCAATGCTCAGCTCTAAGCATATACAGTATACAAGCACATGTAAACTGTTTTACCAGCCAGAAGATAGAGAATTCTGTTATCTCAATCTTAAGATAAGGGCTAAGTTACTCTTTAAGCCATGCAGTACGCTGCACTGTCCACTTTTGTAATTATAGTCATGCTGTGACTAACAGCACTGCACAAAGCCATAGCACCCTTACTGGCTTAGAGTGCTGCATCTGCACTCCCTGTGTTAAAATGTGGCTGTGCTAAATTATTTAAAATCAATTCATTTTAAATTGATCCTGTTGAGCTTCAACAGCCTGGAGTGAAACTGGGCCTTGAAGGAGGACCCATCAAGCCCAGAACCCTCATGTAGATGCAAACATCAGGCAATCCCTGTACTGCAAGGACCGAGCACTGGATCTTTACCAGGCGAAGGAAGACCCTGGACAGGGGCTTATCCAAGACTAGGCCCAGGTACTCCAAGCGATCAGAGGATCAACCTCAGGAGATTCAGGATCCATGCAAAGCTCTGCAGGGCTTGCATTATCAGATGAATGTTGTAATAAGGCTTGACTGACTGCTCTGAGGATGTGGTAATCTAGTTACCCCATTATGTGAATCCTCAGAAACCAAAGTAGAGACAAAAAGGAGGCAATAGAGCCCTCCTCAGCACCACCGTTGGGCTGTGTGGCCCCAGAGACGCCCACACCTACAATACACCATGTGTTCCCCACAGTACTCATAACCAGCAGTGTAATGAGGGTGCCCTGCGTTGCACGCAGAAGGGGACCCCCAGGTGTAGGCGTTCTCCTTGCTGGGTCAGTGCAGAGTCACAGCACCAGCTTGTGTTCAGCCTAGAGTGCAAACCAGGAGAGAAAAATTGTTGCGCGCATTGCACAGTGCAGCACTTGGGAGGGAGACTGTGCAGGCACAGAGAGCAGCCTCTAAGCCGCACAAGAATAGAACAATTATGCCAAATTAAAAATATAAAGCTGAAAATAGCACCAAATGCTGGGAGACACAGCAATGCCACAGGTTTCACCCTTTAGGGACCAGTGAAACCACACTGGGTAACACGGTGGGCAAAGCCACAGCTCACCTTACCAACTTGTGGTCCTAAGCATGCGACAGCGATCAGAAAAAGACCTGTATAGCACTCTGCAGCAACTCCATGCGCTGCACAAACGTCCCACACAGGGTCTATTGCTCTTAGGATATTACAGGCTGGCACCAAAACCATTCTCCCAGTGGAGGCCGGGTACAGTCTGCCAAGCTTTTGCAGAGGAGCACAACGATACAGAGAGCAGCTGGAAGAAGCACAGTGGCTGTGAGCAGCATTATGAAACTTGCTAGGAAAAACAAATACAGAAAACAATCTACTTAAAGTAGAATGGATATTAAACAAGCACAGGGGCTGCCTCTTCTGTGCCTTACTACTAAAATGACTGACTAGGAACAAGAATGCATAAATGAAAGTCAAAATGTATTTATTTCCATACTAAGTACAGAAGCCATAACATCAACATTTTCATAAGGAGAATGAGCAATGGCCACTTACTCAAAAAAAGAAGGTTCCCCAAACAAAGAAATCCCTATATTGGAGCTGATCAGGTAAACAGGTGACACAAAATGGTAATGATGTATAAAAAAATTATATTCTATAGACAATTAAAGAAAAATACACATAGGATCCAATATAACAAGACATCTAAAAACAAGTAAAAAGACATCCCCTTGAAATTCCACTTATAGTAATACGAGTGATAATCTAGAGACCACCTCAGTGGTAAATAGTCACTAATATATACACTTTGATGTGTTTTAAAGATGGATACAATGTATCAGAGCGTACTCACAACCTGTGTGGTTTGCGATGGACAGTCCTTGTAGGGTCTACACGCCCCTCTGAGGAAGTCCCAGTGGTTTGGGGGGAAAAGCGTAAGGGTCAGCGTGTGTTTCAGACTCCCCTTGGATACCCGCTTTATCTCACCCACGGTCGAGTGAAGGAAACAACTTTCTCATTGTCGATTGACAGGACAGGACGGAACGAAAACCCTTTAACCGCTGTTATCTCGTAACTGCAGTGAAATCTGTAGGAAAATGAACCGAGATTGAGAACAGCTTGTGGGCTGAGGCTGCTCCATCCTACCATCCACCTTTCAGCCCAGTGTGTCTTTATTCACTTCGCTGTGCGGCCGCACACGCTGGAAACAACCTCCGGATTATTTTCTGGATTAGAAGTGATCGACACCCGCTGATCAGTGTGAGCTCAATTGAGCAGGGAGTGACACGCTCATCGGAGCCTCCAGACAAACAAGGATAACTACTATCTGGAGTCACAATCCCACACTAAGATACACCTCACAGAATTTACTCCATCCACGTTTAAACAGGGGACCCTACAAGGACTGTCCCTCATCGCAAACCACACAGGTTGTGAGTACGCTCTGATACATTGTATCAGTCTTTAAAACACATCAATGTGTATATATTAGTGACTATTTACCACTGAGGTGGTCTCTAGATTATCACTTGTATTACTATAAGTGGAATTTCAAGGGGATGTCTTTTTACTTGTTTTTAGATGTCTTGTTATATTGGATCCTATGTGTATTTTTCTTTAATTGTCATTAAATATTTTTTTTTTATATACATCATTACCATTTTGTGTCACCTGTTTACCTGATCAGCTCCAATATAGGGATTTCTTTGTTTGGGGAACCTTCTTTTTTGAATTAGTTTACGGAAACCCTGGAGACAGATATAGATCACATATTATAATCTATTTATAGCGTAACTCCTTACTCCCCTTGTTGTTTCTTCAATGGCCACTTACATTTTACTTTAATGCCAGGTTTATTTCAAAAGGCAACACTGCTCAGACATTTTTCATGAACTGTCTAGCGTAAAATCTTTCACCAATTTTGTGATACACTTAATGTAGGCTAACCAGAATTTTGACACCCATTCAGAAAAAGGAACAAGCCAATGAGTCTTGGACATGAATTTTGAAACAGAACATAGGGCCGGTGCTATTTACATCCTGGGCTCATCTTTCACTGCTTGGCTCTAAGTCAGGCATGTCAAACACAAATAAAAAAGTGGCCTAAATGAATGGAGTTGCATTATGATTAAGGGCCATATCTACTTCTACTTAAAACCAGCAAAAAAAAAAAAAAAACAGTACCCTGGCAATTGACATTCTAGTGACTGCAATATACTGTACATTTTATACTAGAGAAAGGGGCCATGAAACATTTCCAGAAGTATTCAGCAGCATTAGTGTAAGCAATTGCAGCCTTTATTCATTTGAGCCTAGGGGCTCATTTATGCAGGTAAGAGCAACAGGTTCACTTTAACTTAGCCTCCCAAACAGCATATACTTACCTTATTTTCACTCTGCCACAGGAAGCCAAAAAAAGTCCTGTCTAAACTACAAGTCACAGCTCATACAGGGGCTATGGAATTGCCTTATGCCAAAGCCGATTGGCCTAGCACTGTCAGATGCTCCTCCATACACAGAAGTACTGGGTATAGTCTTCTGACTTTTTAATTATTATTATTAATTTGTATTACTACACATTGAAAGCACTTCCTTAATATTGCATATACACACATTGCAGGTCAGACACCAAGCAGAGTTCACATGTACACAGGTCAAACTCTGTGGGAGCAGCTGGCATTCATGAGTTTATTTTTAGCTAGGTAAATTTATGGCCTGGTTACAGCTGAAGAGAACACACTGGGACTAAAGCATATCATCAGTAACTAGCAAAAGGTAACACTCTAGGAATTAAAACCAGGGGTACTTCAACATGACGTGGGCGCGCTGCTAAAAATGTATGGGAATTACCTTACAATGCACATTTTTGTTTACACGGTTCCCCAGAATATTGGAATGTATTGGGAAACTAAAGAATTAAGCATATAACAAAAAAGAGGAAAAAATTAAAGTGTTGCTGAAAATTATAAGGTTTTAGAGGTCAAGACCTAAATAAATAACAGTGACAATGCTAATGTACTGTATATACTCGAGTATAAGCCGTCCCGAATATAAGCCGAGGTACCTAATTTTACCACAAAAAACTGGGAATAGAGTATAAGCCGAGGGGGGCACGAAATGGGCTGAAAAACTCAGCTTATACTCGAGTATATACGGTACATGCAAAAAAAATGTAAAGGGAACTGGCAAGCAAAGATATATATTAGAGCTGTGGCTACAGACTTGTTTTAGAGAATATAGCCTCTGGCACTGTAATCCTTGCCCCTCTTACTGTTAAAGCAGATGTAAATCATAAATTAAGAGCATTTGTTTCCTATAGCACTGTGTAAACTGCCATTTAAAAATAAAATACGATTCACCCTCTGTGAAGTTTATATGAGGTTTTTTTGAAGCAAGTTCCGGTCTACGTGCATGCAATCCACCTTTGTCTGCAGCAACGGGTGTGAACGGGCGGCACAATGGTGTAGTGGTTAGAGCACTTCTGCCTTGTAGCACTAGGGGTCCCTGGTTCAAATCCCAGTCTGAGCACTATCTGCAAGGAGTTTGCATGTTCTCCCTGTGCTTATGTGGGTTTCCTCCGGGTACTTCGGTTTCCTCCCACACTCCAAACACATGCTGGTAGGTAAATTGGTACTGTATGTATGCAAGATTGTGACCTTAGATTGTAAGCTCCTTTAGGGCAGGGACTGATGTGAATAAGCACTCGCTGTAAATTGCTGCATAAAATGTCTGCGCTATATAAATACCTGTAATAAAAAAAGGGGTTCTATAGCAGCATTCAGCTCCAGTCTGAATGTTGAATACAGATTTTAATATGTCCCCCGGCTGTGGCTTTAATCGAACCTTTTAGTAAGCCCTGTAACACTTTTCTGAAATCTCAATGCATTCCATATTATGATTAAACAATACAAAGCCTATGTGTAAGTGCAGCTGAATACCTATAGTTATAATCAATTCGTCTGTGCTCTTTTTTTGCAATTTATTTAAAACTATTAAACTTGCGGCATGTATAGAAAAAGGCTGCATGTAATTTCACATATCTGAACCACCAGAACACTGGGGAGGACTTTTTCATTTTGAAATTACAGCTCATATATTGGTCCACTTCTGTAATGGATGACAATTTTGACCAATAGTAGAGCATAAAAGGGGAGGGCCAGAGATCCAGCTTCATGAACTGAACTTGCTATTCCATAATCATGCACCCAAGACTATTTTGCACCCTTCAGTGGTGGCAGGATCCTAAATGCTGCAGAGTGGTGCCATGTCACCAGATGATTCTTTCTGTGAGTCCAGGGTGGGGGCTGATGCTTGATGCCCTGGGCTCACAGAAAGTGGGTTGAACAACACTGGACATCATTGTTGGATAGGTGAACCTGTGGGAAGACAGTGCCACAGATCGAGTGTAGAGGGTGACGTTTGAACTTAGCACCACCGCCCGCCACCTATTCCAGCCCCTGCAGCACATACCTCTGATGCCCCCAGTATGAGAATCATGCTCATAGATGGGAGGTGCTCATTGGTCAGCACAGTCACAATGACCAATGAGAAGCGCTTCCTACTTCCGGGACTTGATTCCCATCTCAGAAACACTTTTCATTGGTCAGCGTGATCATATGACCATGCTGACCAATGAACATGCATTATGCTCAATACATACTGCAGGGCTGTAAAGTGCGGTGTACAGACCAGACACAAACTGGCACGGGGATCACACTGGTGTGTGCAGTGTGATGTTGGTAAGTTTATTTTCTCACCTGAAGTGTCTATCTCAGCAAGCTAACAGATTCTTAGTAGAAAATGGTCAAAGTTCCTTTCACAAGGGCAGCGTCCATTCCGGTCCGCAGGACACCCATGAACCGACCCCCCCCGCTGAATCACAGTGGAACACGAGGGATGTCACTTTTGTGAGATACGTGTCCGGTCAGTTATTTTTCTCTGAGAACTTAGTGGACCCATATTAGGTATATGGGCAGGCAGATGTAAACAGATATGCATACGATCTCTGAGTCTATCTAGGTCCAATTAAAAAAAAATGGAAACGATTTAATCCTTTTCAGACCCAAATGTGATGGATCAGAAGTAAACGTATGCATGTCCGTTTACATAGCTGCCCACCCATAGACAAACATCGAGCTTCTGTTTAGATCCACCTGTGAGTTTTTAGATGGATCTAAAATGGAAGCTCAATGTTAGCGTATGGACAGGCAGATATGTAAACAGACATGCGTATGTTTACCTCTGATCCATCATATTTAGGTTACAAAAAGAACAGAAAAGGCTGCAATCCGTTTAAAGGGCCTATAAATTCAGATTTCTGTTGCAAAATATAAGCAATACAACTGCAGAAGCAATCTTTCACAAAAAAAATAGAAATACATTTGTCAAAAAAAAAAAGTGATAAAGCCGTTCTCTGAATATGTTTGTCTAGTCATACTTACAAAATGTCAGTGCAGATCCAATATATATGGATATTATTTGTGGTTATGCATGTTTTGGGGATTCATAAATGGGTTTAATACCACATCCAAGGGTGATATCACCCTTGGATGTGGTATACTAAAGGCAACGCAGTGACACTGGACAGCTATAGCAGATCATGATCCAAAACGTACCATGCTGACATAACTATATTAATACTGAGGCACTTGTGACTGCTTGCAGTTTACTTTGTAATTCTGAATATGACAAGTCATTTATAGAAACTTAAGGTATAAGATAGGATTCAGAACAAAAGCATGAATTTCCCAACAACCTGCTTAGGAGTATTTTGTCTCGCTTATTCTACAGACTTGAGTAGTTAAAAGGATTAGGTATCCGTCCCATGCCATGGTGTCCTTTACAGCTTTTTTTTTTTTAGGCATTGTTCACACTAGCTGCACTAATCACCATTGATCAACACACGGGCATAACAAAAACAACTGATACCAAGGCTAGACAAATCCCAGGAGCCAGGTCGCCAATGAAAAATTGCAGCTAGCGCATAACTTTTGTTCAGCGTGAAGCTGCTGTTATTTTCCTTGTTCAACCTGCGGGCTGAATGAAGACAATATAACACATTCCTCTATCAATGCTTATGAGCATTGATTCAGGATGCTCCCATTTGCATTGTATTCTGACGGTGGCCGCAGTCCACCATCAGACTACACGAACAAAGCTGGCAGCTCATTGGCTGCCGGCTGTTCGTTTTAAGATTTTCCAAACAGCTCATTAAGAGATGCCAGCCAGGAGGGTGCCAACAGTGCGCATTTCAGCCAGTTCTTGGTGAATTCGCAGTGTATAGCCACCTTTATTCCCCCTCTCTGCTGGATCAGAAGACTAGACAAAATGGCACCTAGGTGGTCTTGTCCATACAGTTGTGTATACACCATGTGACATAGGAGCACTTACCATCTGCAGGCTGTTGGAAGTTGACATAGGCATATCCCAGCGATCTCCGTGTGATCATGTCCCTGCAGACTCGTATTGATAAGACAGGTCCTGCTGGACTGAACTTCTCATACAGCATGGCCTCCGTGACATCGGGGTGTAGGTCCCCTACATAGAGGGACGCCATCGGATAGCTGCTGGTAGCCGTGTGCATCTCCCAACCCGAATTTCAGCTATCAATGGGAACAGATCTCCACAGGAGAGATAACAGAATAGTTAAGGCTTTTAGATGGATGCGAGCTGCGCCAGTTCAAAAGCAACAGGTAGGGAGGATCGGAGCAAGTGACGGCGGGCTGTAATGTAAGCGGTGGACCCTCTTGTCACAGTGATCGGATCCCCCCCCCTCCGAAGCGCTCTTGCAGTGGGGGACAGTGTGCGGCCTGGGCAGGTACAGCAGACGGCGCAGCCTGGACGATGTGTGAGAGCGGCGAGTGTGGTTTGAATAGAGGAGCAGGTGAGCGGCTGATGTTTCGTGAAGGGACCGGGGGGTTATTTCTTGCTTTATGTTCTGTGTAAAGAGCTACGAGTGTCGTGCAGTTACCCTCTTCGTCTTTAGATTGGAGTTTTTTTTTTTTACGCCCCGGTCACCCACAGGAAAGCACGCTCTGGCCGGCGCCTCGCTGCGCAGGGAGGACAAGAGAGACCGTGGAGGAGTGCAGGCGCAGCTTTTATATCCACGTCTAAGGAAAGCCGGTGTAGCTGATAACTCACAGCGCCCTCTGCTGCTCGCCAGGAGACTAGCTAAGTGCTGAGCGCAAGACATGTGTCCTCTTCATAGCTGCAAGTTTCAAAGTTAAAAGTAAGGCCCCGTTCACACCTGACCGTTTTGTAGCTCGTCCTACGCTCGACGAACGCGCTACAAAACGGTCAAAAAAATAAATAGCATTGTAGTCAATGCCCTCGTTCCCACCTAGGCGTATTTCTGCCCGTCCCTAACGCCCTACAAAACGGCCCACGCCTGAAAAGGTCCCGGGACTACTTTGGGCCGTTTTGTAGGGCGTTTTCCATTGGGATACAGCCAAGTAGCCTTTGGAATCGCGCGACGGTCGCACGACTTTTTTACCGCGAATCGCGGTAAAAAAAACGTGTGACGGTCGCGCGACAGACGTGGATATTACAATACGCCTAGGTGTGAATGGGGCCTTTAGTCCACCCTTAAAAAATACAAAATAAATGTACACTTCTTCATAAAAGAAAAAAAATGTGCATTCATTTATTTTTTTGCATTGGGGCCACTAAAGCATTGCAACTTTGCTATGTAACCATGTTTTATGTTATACAAATGGCAAACGTACTCATCAATTCATAAGGTGCACATGGAAGGGCTTTACACAGTACAAAAGCAAACATTTCCCAGCACGCTAACCAGCTAGCCTGCAAAAAAAATGACATAATTTGTCCGGGGGACGGTCTCCTCAATCTGGGGAAATCGGGGACGAATGGTCACCCTAGTCTTCAAGGCCCCTATGAGTAGTGTGGTCCTAACTCTAATCTATGAGAGCCTCCATCCTGGAGCATATATATAGTAAAGGATGAATTGGGTGCAGGTTCACCAGGAGGTAGCCCATTCTGGGGGCTTCAGCTGCCGTCTGGGGGCTTCTGGTATGCCTGTGCCATTTTAAGGAGAAATGGGCTACCTACTGGTGAACCTGCACCCAATTCATCCTTTGCTATACATGCTCCAAGATGGATGCTCTCATAGATTAGAGTTAGAACCAAATCCATCAAATCAACCATCAATCGCATGTATGGGGTCCATCCTTTATAGGAGAATGATGGGGAGAGTGAAATACACTCATCCTCATAGTTAGAGCCAACGTGTGAGACTGCAGCTGTCACACATCGGCTTTAAAGATCTAGAAATGAGTGACCACATACCGCTGATCACTAAGCTCACAATCTTCTCCCCGCAGAGAACAATGACTGTCAGTCACCGCCCCCCGCAGGGATTCCCCTCTCAGTTCCTCCAGTGCGGACAGGAGGGACAGACACACAGGGGCAGTGGCGTCACAAGGGGGGTGCGGCCAATGCCACTAATGGAGGGGTGACACCAAAATGACTCAGTCATTTTGGAGTCACCACCCCCCACATAAAATGTCAATGAAGCAGCGGGGTGGGTCCTGACAATATTGTCTGGATCTTTCCCGGGTGCAGCACGGCTCTGCGCTCTTAGCATAAAGTGGGCAATAGCTCACTAAATGCTGAGTTTTTGGGTCACAGGATTTATGGAGATTTTCCGACAAACTCTTTAATTACTACAGAATATCAATTTAAACCTTTGACATTATACTAGGTTTGATTTTAGGTGATCTCGTCAAAGAAAGTACAGCAGGCCTGTTATATCTCAGGAGAAAGGTTCATGCTTATGTTACTGTAATCACACTATTCATCTTTTCTAGCATACAACTGTTTATTTGTTTTGTGGCTGGGGGCATATATTTTTGTCTGTTAGCAGATTTAATACATCTCTCTTTTAAAACGGGCTTTCTGTAATGTAGTTTTGGCTTTTTTTTCCATTTAAAATGGTCACACCTAAATGTAAAAAGTTTAGGGATGCACCAATACCGGTTTTTCAGCATCGAGTACAAGTACTGATATTTTTTTTTTTGGAACTCGCTGATACCGGAGTCCTAGGGTAACGTGGCCTCGGCTAATCAGGGAGCTGGTGTTCTATCGAAAGCACACCAGCAGAGGGGGCTCTTTAATTAGGCAAATTAGGCGGTCGCCTTAGGCCTCGCGCTCCCGAGGGCCTCGCGGCCGCCTAGTTTGCCCTGTTAGAAGCCAGGTAGCATTGTGAGCTCTCAGCCCTGTCGCTGTCAAACTGAGACTCTCAGTTTGACAGTGACAGTGCTGAAAACTCACCTGTTTCCTCAATCGTCGTACGGGCCATCGGCTCGGTCTTCTGGACAAAGCTCCGCCCACCAGCCAATGAGAAGAGACCTCACTCCTGGGAGGGCTGAGTTTAACTTCAGAAGCCGACGGAGACATGTCCTGCCAGCTCCCACCCGCAAGACACGGCCAGCCCAGCACAGTACTGGAGTGGCAGCCTGGAGAGCCCTGTGGATAGCCCTGTGGAAAGCAGGTGAGAGCCCTAGCTTAACCAGGGCTCTGTGGGATCTCCCCAGGGCCCTGTTGGGTCTAACAAGGCTGGTTAGACACCCACAGAGCCCTGGTGAGACCCCAAAGAGCTTTACAGAGTGCTGGTGCTGGTGAGAACCTACAGAGACCTGGTAAAACCCTGCTGAGCCCTGGTTTTAACAGTGCTTCTTGAGGTCCCACTAGGGGTCTGAGGGGTCTAACCAGGCTGGTGAGACCCCACATAGCCCTGGTGAGACCCTGCGGAGACCTTGTTCTGGTGAGACCCTAGAAAACCCTGGTTTAACCAGGCCTCTGTGGGGTCTCACCAGGCCTCTGTAGGGTTTAACCAGTCTGGTGAGCCCCCACAGAGCCCTGGGGAGACCCCTAAAGAGCCCTGGTTAAACTATGGTTCTGTGGGGTCTCACCAGGCCTCTGTAGGGTTTAACCAGTCTGGTGAGCCCCCACAGAGCCCTGGGGAGACCCCTAAAGAGCCCTGGTTAAACTATGGTTCTGTGGGGTCTCACCAGGCCTCTGTAGGGTTTAACCAGTCTGGTGAGACCCCACAGAACCATAGTTTAACCAGGGCTCTTTAGGGGTCTCCCCAGGGCTCTGTGGGGTCTCACCAGACTGGTTAAACCCTACAGAGGCCTGGTGAGACACCACAGGCCTGAGTGGGGCCTCATGTTTAGGTTTCGCCTAAGGCCTCGCAAACTCTAGAGCCGCCTCTGCACACCAGCTTCACGCTCCTTCAAGACACTGCGAGGCAGCCTGGGTTAGTAACTCTAAAGCAACCAGAAACTACAGTAATCTGGCATCTACCAATCCCTATGGGTTTCGGATAATTGTGAGTTTACTGTAATTAGGTATGAAGGTATTTAGCTACTGGCCATTCTTCTTATCCCTTCTTATCAAGCAAACTACCGTAAGTGGAATTTGACCAGAAAACAATAAAATGGACCTTTGACTTTTCTCCTAGTAGACTTATTCCAGGTGTCATCTTCTCAATTCCACATGTATTTGCCATCATCTAAAATGTGATGTGCCCTTTTCCTGGCCGATGCCATGTTGTACCTAAAAAAAAATATTTTATGATCAGTTATCAAAAGTAGACATGTAAGCCAGCAAAAAATGTGTTTTGGTTTTGGATTTTTCATTATTGTGTTTGTTGGGATACTGGTCCGAAAGTAAATTCGGTTCAGTGTTCGGACGAATCCTAAATTGTTGTTAATTTTGGATGCAGTAGTATTTACGAACTAATTTCCGTTGCAGCAAAGTGACATTGGGAAAAAAAATTAAATGTTTTTCAAACAGTCTGCAGAAACAAAGCGTGGGGTTCCCCCCCAATTGATCCCAGACCCTTTAGGTCTGGTAGGAATTTTAAGGGTGACCCTAACGCCAACAAAAAAGTGGGGTCCCCCCTAAAATTCCTACCTGACCCTTAATCTCCCTTAATGCCATCTGGGTCTGGGACCCGACTTGTTGTTATTAATATAACACAACACCTCGGCTCCCAGACTCCCAAATGCCATTCGGGTCTGGGAGTCAGCTCCTAGACCCGAATGGCACTTGGGAGTCTGGGAACCGAGGTGTTGTGTTATATTAATAACAACAAGGCATTACTCATTCACAAGGTGGGGTGGCATCTGGCTTTACATATTGGTACATCTTCAGCTGGAATCAGGATTACTCTCAAGAGTCATATGCAGGATTAAAAACAGAATACTCTAACCCAACGTTTGGAGTTTGAGGATTACTGTCAGGTAATGGATGACATGCCGTATTATTTGCCTTATTTTTTTTTCCAGAAAGGATAAAAGGAAACACTTATCCTTATCCATTCGCATTTCGTTTGACTTACTACCCTGTGGAAATCTTCCAGATACAATTTGAATGAGACTTTTTATCTTGCGTGGATTACTTCTCTTTAGTTTTGTTTGCTGCACCATAATTATGTTGAGATCTGCAATCATTATTTTCATTATCCTGTTGCGTAGCCTTCTGACCACAGTCAGTTTTCAGACTAGAAGATGTTCTAGCAAAATTGAAGGAAGTGATAGATAATACAACCCTATAAAAGTACATTGATATTCAATGCTTTAGTTAACAAAAAAAAAAGACCACTCCTAGTGAACACCGGTCTGTGGTCAGTAGCAGTACAAAAATGTAACAGCATCAGTGGTTACTGGGAGCAACAAATGCCCCTACAGCAGTAG